TGTATTTTTTTTCGGTCAATATCCCAATCAAAACGCTTTCTTCCAATGCTGCCAACTCTTTACTGTTGCATACCCATCCGGGGCTATCGTTCATTAGACGAATAAGGTTTGTACGAAGGGCCGGGTAGTCTGTGCTGGAGAACGCTGTGCCAAGAACATTAACGATTGGTTCTTCAAACCAGATGCTAGCGTTGACTAAGACAGTTGTCTGGAGAATAGTGACGAGCGATGTGAGACGGCACTCATTTGCTAGTTCGAGAAGTGAGACAACACCGCCCGCAGAAATTAAAGACCAGTCTATTATGGCGTAACAAAGGTATCTGTATGAAATTCAGTGTTAGAATTGGTAATTAAATCGAATAAATGGCCGTCTTTTATCTTGGCAGACATACCTCAGCAAAGTTTCCATAACAATGGGTTTAATCTTGCGTTTTTCCACCCAATACTTGTCTCCCTTTTTACGCCACTTGTCGTTAAGATTTTTTCTAAAATAATCCGATTGTTTTGCTAGCCATGTTGAATTCAACTTGAAATTCCTCGTTTCTCTTCCTATTCCGCATTTCCATATTACGTCGCAGGGACCTTGACAATAGTCTATTATATATTCAGACGGAGACCGCTCAGGGATAGGTGGTAAGTTATCGGGAGATAAATTGAGAGCACCGATAATGGTAGTGAGTTGCCCACGTAATGTTGCCAATGTGGCTGTTCTGGAAGCCATCGATGTGAGTTTTTTGAAAGAAATTGGCCAACAGTCATCCATATATATATTTTTCTCAATGCATGAGCCGGCCGATAGTGAATTTCGTGCAATAGCTCTACATTTAGTTATTGAATAAGCATAACGCTGAAAAATACGTTACACTCATGGTCGTACAAATGATCATTGTAAGCACCAATTGGGAGCTATTGGTCCTATAATTTATGTTGTGTGTCGCCCGAAGTGATAAATTCTGTACAAGGATGTAGAACAAAAGTCGTACCCCCTGTTGTGCGAATGTTGTCGATCACTTTATAACATACCTAATACCGCAGTTGTATAGACGTCTTGGCCTACACACGTTTTATTACTTCGGGTATCTGTATATTATTGCAACTCATCGTTCTCATAAATTAATAATTGGCACAGACAGTGCCGCGTGACTCGGAAAAGAGAATCTTCTGACAAATTTATTTAATTTAATATATTAATATAGCATCGTAATTTAAAATAAATAGCTCGTTTGTTTGAATGTTGAAACCGAGCGTTTGCAACCTCCGAATTATAGTACAAGGAAGAGTTTCATCGGCATGAGTCTCCAGTCCATGCTTCCTTCTTTATTCCACGCAGTATTTTTATAGTTGGTATTACATATTGCAATGCCCCAATTCTAATTTTGAAATAAAGGTTTTGACTCCATTGTATAGATATAAAGGTAATTAGACAATCCCTTAGTGAAATCTTTGAAGGTCCGATTTAGGGAAATACTTGAAAACATGCATTTTCATATAGCTTTGTAAGAGGACTGTTATGTAATTCTTAAAAACACTTCGCTCTCGAATCCCGCTAGAATGATTTTGATAAAGGAGGGTATGTTAGAATAAGAATAGGATTTCACGATAGAGTGACTTATTAATAGCTAAATCAAATAGTTAGACGTGTCACGATTATGAACGACCTTTGCTAAAAATACAGTAAATAAAAGCTATAGTCTGGAATCTTGAATAACAATGGCTTGGGTTTTATGGGGATGTAAATATAAAAGTAATAATGCTAAGCTAGCCAACGGTATGAGCTGATTACATCATATTGCAGACAAAGAATATTAAAACTACAATTAAACAATGGGCATAAATTGTAGTTCACATTTTTTTATACT